TGATATTAGATTTTTAATAATGATATACTCATAAATACTCATATTTTTATTAACAATTTCAAAACTAAATTCCAAACCAGAAATATATAATTAATTAAAATAATTAAAATACTATATACTCTAAGTATTTATGTCAAATAACATTTTAATTAATTTAATTTAATATTATATTATTAATTTGCATTACATCAATACATAAAATAATTTCTGAAAATATTTTTATTTATTTTTTTAAATATTATTTTATTGAGAATTAAACGTATAAATATTCATACGTATCATCATTTAATTATATATAATGTCTTTATATTAAAAAATGTTTCTGCTTAAAAAAAATGTTTTATATTGGTTTTCTTTCGCTTGATTTTCGTAAAAATAAACTAAATATATTTCATATCTCTTCAAACAAAAGACAAATGATTGCTTGTTTTTTCAAACAAAAGATAAATGACTTCTTGTTTTTTCAAACAAAAGACAAATGACTTCTTTTTTTTCAAACAAAAGACAGATGACTGCTTGTTTTTTCAAACAAAAAATAAATGATTGCTTGTTTTTTCAAACAAATGACAAATGACTAAGCAAGAAAATAATGGATTTTCCTCACCGACTTATTATATTAACTTCCTATATTGCAATATATTTATATTTTCTATTTATCAATATTTGACTTGATAGTAATGAAATGATATTATTAATTTTTGCTTATTTTTTGTTTTATATTATATATTATATATAATATTATATTATATATTGTTATATATTGTTTTATATTGGATTAATATATTTAATTATTATATATTTAATATATTAAATTATATTTAATGAAATTTAAGTTTTTATATAAGAATTACAAAACATAAATCTTCCATTTTTTATATAGATAAGATCATTTAATTTTTTGAATTTACAATGATATATTTATTTATTTATTTATTTTTGCAGAAAAAAAAGATGTAGATTTTATAGATATTTGATAGAAATTTGATAGATAAATTATATAAACAAATCATTTAATTTTTAAGTATATTAAAAACATTTTCTGGTGATACCAAAATATTAAACTTTGCTATTTAATTATTCTACGATTTAAATTATTTCTCGAAAATCTATGATAAATTTTATTATAAATTTTATTCATTTTATTCTTTGCGGTTCTTTTTTTTTATTCATATGTAATTTAAATATTTAACACAAGTCGTTCGAAATAATGTCAAACTTTGAATCTTTAACGATCTTTAAAATATAATACGTTGTTGTTTAAACATCATGTAAATATAAAAAGTAATACAGTAAGATAATAGTAAACAAAATTATGAAAAGAATCTATTAGACTTCCGATAGGTAGGTTTTAAAAATAATTAAATTTTTATTGTTGCATATTGAATTATAAATTTTTTTATTATAATATATATTGATTAAAGCATATTAATATTAAGAATATTATATATAAAATTTTAGACCATAATAATAAAATTTGATTTCTATATAATATATTAAATAAACGCACATAATTCAATTGAGTTATTAGTAACAAGTAGTAAAATCAATTAAAGGTTTCAAAATTTAATATAAATAGTTTAATATTCTTTATAATTATTAGAAATTTTTCTTTATATACTAATCCTCACACATTTACATAATTAATTGGATCTGTTAATAATTATATAATAAAGAAAAAAAAATATCAGACATTATAAAATATGTTTAGCTTCAGAAAATGATGTAAATAGATAACTAAAATAATAATGTGCTTCATTATGGAAAATATTAACAATTATATAATATATATCTAATCTAAATTAATGATTATAATATAAAAAAAAGTAATCTTTATTTTTTCACAATCTTTCCATAAGAATTAATTAATACACCATTATCATGAAGACCTTCCGTAAGTCTTTTGCCAAGATCAGTATCTACTTCCGTAAAATTCTTTACGGCTCTTTCAATGATGAATGTCGATGCATTGCTAAGACTTTGTACTAAATTGTTCACTAATCTGCTTTTCTCTTTATCGTCAAGAACGTTTCTCCAGAATAAAGTAACTTGTCCATAATTGTCTTCGTTTGGATCTACATCATAACGACCTACGTCGCCACTCACAAAGTACTTCGGAGGAGCTACAGCTGGACATTCTCTAGGCCCACCAAAACTATTAGGAAAATAGTTTGGTGCACCATTTTGATTATTTATAGTCGCTTGGCCATCGCGTTGATAGTTC